GTCTTCATACTAAGCTAAGCTAACACTGACTCCAGCTCCAGCATGAGATCGTTCTGATCTCACTCTCAGGAATAAAAGCAGCATGTTGACTGATTCCTAAAAAGCACATTTTTACAGTGACATAAGAGTACATGGGATCAGCTCTGGACTCTGCTGTGTTTGTGCTGACTGTTGGGGGATGCTGTTGTTAGTCAGGATTTGGTCCTGAATGGATGAATGGCAGCAGGCTTGTGCCAGGCACACTGCCTCCTCCTCCTCCTCCTCTCTCCCTTTCTCCTCATCATTAAATTGGACAGCAGATGGAGTAAGTGCTGGGTTGGTTGCCGTGGAGATTTTAAAGGGGTGATTGCGTTTCAGCTGGTCCTGCTTGCTTGGTCCATTTTCTTTTCTTTCTTTTTTTGACATGGAGGGTGTGTTTGTGTATATACACACGCGAGGCTGCGGCACAGGGAATGATAAAGCTGCTTCAGGTTTTAATGATATGTTGCAACTGTACAGACTCAGAATCAGTCACTCTTCTTCTGTTTTGTTTTGTTTTTTTGTGGTTGGTGAAGCATTGCATTATTTGAAGTTGTAATGAGCGTGTGTGTGCATGTGTCTGTGTGCAGCTCAGTGGGGCGTGGGGGCTGCAGCAGCTGTTGATTCCACAATAGTTTGCAGTGACATGCAACATGCAGTCAGAGTGACTTTAGAGTGCAAAGACACAAAAGCCTCTTAAAGTTCTGAATCACAAATGAGAGGAAGAAAAGAAAAAGGCAGCGTGTGCCAGGAGCAAAAGATCACCTTCATTACGCCGCAGACAGCACCATGAAATAAATCTACAACTTCTGTTAATGATTCTAGTTAAAGATATTATGACATTTGTTCTGTAAACATACTGAATCACTGAGCTGCACACAGTCAGAAAACATCTCACCAGCTCAGAGTCACTGAGATTTAAGTTAACTGACAATAACACTTCTTTGTTTACTTTATTTGACAGGGATGGTGCATATCAGTATTTTCAGAAACCAGAAATAAGCTCAATTAGCTAATTGGGCAAATTTTCTGTAGTCCCCAGGCAATCAATAGCTTAAAGCACAGACATCAAGACAAACGTCACTACAGAAACTTCAACAGCTGCTGCAGCAGTTTGACTTTGACATTTTATGTCACTGGAAGGTTCTTATGGCAGGAATATTTTTGCCTCTCTGTCTTGTGGGTAAACAGCAGAATTATCATAATGCTACAGTACAGTGGACATCCACCCAGTCTGTGTATATATGTGCCAGAGTGTGTCAGTACAATAAAGTGAAATCAGTGAGCTACCTGTGTTGAGCTGACGTTGGCCTGAAGCCTTACACTGATGGTTTTGCTCCTTATTGAACCTTGTGACCCTCTATTTAAAGGGATTCTTTGGGGAAATATGCGTATTTGCTTTCATGCAAAGAGTCCGACCACTCTCATGTTTGTGCAGTAAATATGGAGCTAAAGCTAGCAGGGGGTTAGCTTAGCCATAAAAAAGCTCAAATTGTCTTTTTTACACTACAGTTGTACAAAGATAGAACGTGCTACTCACTCATTAACATGTTAATGTGTTAATGAGTGAGCTTTAGAGGTGCTGGTAGGGGGATTATGTTACCTTTGGACAGGGCCATGTTACCTGTTTCCAGTCTTAATGCTAAGCTAAGCTAACTGCCTGCTGCCTGCAGCTGCATACAGTGAGTGGTAGCAGTGGTGGTGGATGCTGTGGGTGCTCCAGCCTCCATTTCAGCTGTTTGTTTAATCTGTCTTTCTCTCTGGTTACAATTTAATATAATGGACATAATTATTCAACATTTTTAATCAATTCACTTACCTATAGTTGAGATTTGATATTGAACATATATGCCCCATTCTCATACATATGTATATGCAACTCACCAAGAAGCTACCTTGTTTATATTGCACACGTTCCCACTTTGTACTGAAACTGCTCCACAAACAATGTCCTTTTCATTTAACGCTATGCTCTAAATGTAAAATAAAGCCTGATTACACAACTGCACTGCATAATATTTAGTTCAAATGTATTTAGACTGTGAGTTTGGAGGGCTGTTTCTGAGAAAATAGAAGTTTCCACATTATTATTTTTTTTTCAGTTTAGAAATTGGAAAAACCAATGCCCAGCATGTGGTCAGTTAAGTGGAGGACAGCCTACACAGATCAAATCTGTCCCAATAAGATATCATATTGAGCAAGAGAGAAGAGAAGAATAGTAAAGGCCACCTCCACCCCAGTCACCATCTAACCACATGACTTACATTGTAATCAGCACATTTACTGATCAAAATGTAAAGTATTTCCTTTTTACATGCTAAACTTGCATAACAGGTGTTACACAAATGTCACACACTGCACTGTTTTTTATCTCTTGCCTTCAAATGACAGCATGTAATATACATATTCCATCCTACCATTACAAATTTATTAAGGGGTTCCCATCTTGTGCAGGACACTTAACTGATTATTCCAAATCAAAAGCCTCTCCAGAGTCATATTGATTTGTGAAAGTGCACAGAGGTCCATATAAAACATGACATGTTTGCTGTTGTTTTAAGCTGCTGATTGAGAAAACTTTATTTTAAATCCTCAGGAAGGATTCAGAATGTCAGAAAGTCAAACCAGACTGAAGATGCTATGAGATTTAATCTCCAGCAACTTTAACCTCAGGTGGAAAAGTCAAAGTAAAGACAGAGAGCAATATTGAGTTCAAATATTTTATTTCTATGTTTTCATCTTACAAAAAATATGCAGTGTACAAGTTATTTCATTTGACATAAATTGAGCTGAAGTGAAACCTTCAAGAAGTAGTACATTTTCAGTTTTCTTTTTTCCCATATTTTTCATATTTTAAGATTCAAAATCAGATTCAAATTTTTTCTTTTCTTTTCAACACTTTTTGTATTTTTCTCTCAATGTTAAATATCTAAAGTAAAAACCTTTAGATAGTATTTTTCCAATACTTTTTTGAGGAATATTTTTTGTCATCATTAAATTTCTAAAGTGAAACCTTTAGAGAATTAAGACAATTCTGGAAAGTGGGAAACATTTGCGCTGACTGCAACTGTTGTCATGTTGCTCAGCGAAGAGGACATCTTTAAAAAGTCCCTTTTTAAGAATGCCTCTTTCTCAGCACCGCTTCTTCTCCTGCTGCGCGTGCTTCAGAGTGCGACATTTGCTCTGTGGAACCACAGGACGCAGAATTCGCTTCTCCTTCCTCTCCAAACCTCATCCGCACAAAGAATGAGGGTCGATGTGTCGCTCTTGCGGCATACCTGACCTCATTCACATAAAGAATGAGAGTCATCTTGGCATGGACGGGACAAGAGGCGACGGTTCACGGGGGGCCCCTCGGGCCGGCGCCGTGCTGCCTGGACGGAATCCTCCTCAGGAGTATCCAGGGATGAGCAGAAACAGGGTCATCCTGTTCATCAGGATGAGTATTTCCAAATAAGAAGCTTTACAGCATCTGAGCAAGAGAGGGAGCCAAGTCCCAGATCAGCGCTCGGGCAGGCTGATCTCAGGGACCCAGTCGTTCAGACGCCGGCTCTCCTCACAGAACAGGTGCAGCTTCTCCAGAGCAGGATCCTCCCAAGAGCCATCAGCTGGGTTCTGTTCACAAAGGAAGGGGAAAGAGGCTTTAGTCACACGTTTTCTTTCAAACAGCATCACATATAGACTTCAGAACTGATTCAGGATGATAGAATCTCGTGTCTCTGAGCTCTACATACCGTGATGAGGACGCAGTGGGCATCTTCAAGCTGCTCTGCCTTGTCGCCAACAATCTCAGCCAGACGCTGCATGTCGCTCACTCTGACGATGCTGATGTCGTTGTCGAAGCAGAAGGACTGGATGAGGGTGAAGTGGATCTGCAGAGCGATGTCGCACTCGAACTCCTCATCCACGGCCAGGACGCAGAAAGACACACTGTCTGGATCACTGTGGA